GAAGACGACAGAATAATATAAATGCCAATAATACGGAGGGGAAAAAAAAGAAAGAAAGAAAGAAAAAAAAGTTCACACCAACCGAAAGAGGATTGTACACATAAAATAATAATATGACAAAAAAATACAAAGCAAAATAACCTTTTTTTCCAATATATATAATAAAAATCCAACAAGCGAACCCAATAAACAGACTCCGACCGCAACAGACGATCAAATGTCACCGAAAGTGATCACTTCCCCGAGACAGCCGAGGGGGGAGAGGAGGGATATCATGGGGGAGGGGGGGGAGAGAGAAAGAGAAAGAGAAAGAGAAAGAGAGAGAGAAGGAGGGGAGGGAGGGAGTGAGAGAGTGAGAGAGTGAGAGTGAGAGTGAGAGTGAGAGAGAGAGTGAGAGTGAGAGTGAGAGAGAGAGACGGTCACATAAAACAGTCTCTTAAGTCGCACCCTCTAACCTTTGTGGCTTATCCCTGGCCCTCTTCATCGCCTCCTCCTTGACCCGTTTACACCCCCCCCTCCCTCCCCCTCCCCCGCATCCCCTTTCTTGCACGTGCCCTCAGCGTCGCCAACCCTTCCTTTACACACACGCCTCCGCCACGATGACAACATAGGGCTCTCTTCCTGACACACCCACTAAGCTTTCTGGCGCGGATTCGTCCTGACATGATTACAGCAGTGATAACAAACGCCAATAGTTGGAAATACTGAACAGCACACTCAACACCGAGGTTAAACAGCAATAATCATGGTGAAACCTGCAATTCGGGAGTAAAACAGTGCACCCTTTGTCAGCGACTGCAACCTCGCCAGCGAAATTTAAGCAATTAACAAAACATTACGAGTCCATTGTTCACGTCACTGGAGACAATAGCGACCCCACACAAAAATAAAAAAAAATGAATCCTTATTGTATATCCCTTTATTGGATGAATAATGAACAGCCTCCCCCAGCTGAAACCTGGACGGGAAGCCTCATCACGGAAAGAACAACAGGCATTCTCTGACAACCTTCCAACACGCAGCACCCATCCCCTCCCCCTTTTCTACCTCTCCTCTCCTCTCCCCTTCCCTCCCTGCCTCTCTCCTTCCCTCCCCTGCCTCTCTCCTTCCCTCCCCTGCCTCTCCCCTTCCCTCCCTCCTTCCCTTCCCCTCCCCCTAACACAAACCCTTTCCTCGTAGGCTGCGCGTGTGTGCTACACGTGCCTCGCTGCACGTTTGCAAACATATGCGTGGGTGAGGTGGACTAGGGAGTGGGTGGGGGGATAGGGAGTGGGTGGGGGGATAGGGAGTGGGTGGGGGGATAGGGAGTGGGTGGGGGGATAGGGAGTGGGTGGGAGGGGGGGGATAGGGAGTGGGTGGGGGGATAGGGAGTGGGTAGGGGGATAGGGAGTGGGTGGGGGATAGGGAGTAGCTGGAGGGAGAAAAGGGGGAAGTAAAAAAGGGGAACAGACAGAGGGAAGAAGAGAAAGAGGAATGGAAGGGGAGAGGAGAGGAAAGGAAGGAGGAGCAGAGAAAAGGGAGGGGAGGAGGGGAAGAGAATAGGGAGAGAAGGTGGAGAAGGTGGAGAAGGTGGAGAACAGGAGGCGGAAGGAAGAAAGGGAAGAGGATAGAGAGTGAAGGAGGAGAAGAGAATGATGCAAACGGAGATAAGTAAAGTAAGGAAGGGATGAAAGACAGAGAAGTGAGAGAAGAAATGAAGGGGGAGAGAATGCAGAGGAAGGAAGACAGAGGATATGAGAAAGAAAACTAAAATGAAAGAAAATGTAAACCAAAAAGCAAATTGTTCCCTTGCAAAACAAAATTAAGGCACAAACGAGGCCAACACATCCGACGTCACCCAGCTAGGGCTCTCTGTCAGCCTTGGCACTGTGCCTTCTTACCCGACAGGCACTAGGTGGCATTCCTCAGACAAGAGAGAAACCCCTTCTCTCTCTCTCTCTCTCTCTCTCTCTCTCTCTCTCTCTCTCTCTCTCTCTCTCTCTCTCTCTCTCTCTCTCTCTCTCTCTCAAACACACACACACACACACACACACACACACACACACACACACACACACACACACACACACACACACACATCTATTTGCATGAACAGGGATGCAACGTTGCATCCATCTCATGAGATAAGATATTTAAAGGGAAAGAGAAGGAAGAGAGCAGAGGAGAAGAGGAAGAGAAACTGCAGCAGGAGACGAGGAAGAAGGAAAAGATAGGAGAAGATATACGAAGAGGAAAGGAAGGATAGAATGTCAGGAAGAGAGGGAAGGAGAACGAGGAACTCTTCGGCATCAACAAATCGAAGAAAATAACAAGTGCCCCTCTAACCCCACACCCCCCTCCAAAAAAAAAACAAAGCCCAAACAGCAACGCCAACAACAGAACACAAAAACAGCGCAGAAATAAAAGACGTCGATTCCGAAAACGTCAAGCCACGCACAACACGACAGCATTCTGTGATACCTGACTCAGCTCAAAACAAGAAGGCAATCGGCTCGTGTTTACTCCGCTTCTACCGGATGACCCCATGGGGTCACGCGAGGGAGGGGGAGGAGAGAGGGAGGGAGGGATGGGAGAGAGAGGGAGGGAGGGAGGGAGGGATGGGAGAGAGAGGGAGGGAGGGAGGGAGGGAGGGAGGGATGGGAGAGAGAGAGGAAGGGATGGGGGAGGAGAGAGAGAGAGAGAGAGAGAGAGAGAGAGAGAGAGAGAGAGAGAGAGAGAGAGAGAGAGAGAGAGAGAGAGAGAGAGAGAGAGGAAGGGAGGGATGGGAGAGAGGGAAGGGAGGGATGGGAGAGAGGGAGGGAGGGAGGGAGGGAGGGAGGGAGGGAGGGAGGGAGAGAGAGAGAGAGAGAGAGAGAGAGAGAGAGAGAGAGACAGAGAGAGAGACAGAGAGAGAGACAGAGAGAGAGACAGAGAGAGAGAGAGAGAGAGAGAGAGAGAGAGAGAGAGAGAGACAGAGAGAGAGAGAGACAGAGAGAGAGAGAGACAGAGAGAGAGAGAGAGAGAGACAGAGAGACAGAGACAGAGACAGAGAGAGAGAGAGAGACTGAGAGAGAGACAAAAAGAGAGAGAGAGACAGAGAAGAAAGAAAGAGAGAGAAGAAAGAAAGAGAGAGAAGAAAGAAAGAGAGAGAAGAAAGAAAGAGAGAGAAGAAAGAGAGAGAAGAAAGAAAGAGAGAGAAGAAAGAAAGAGAGAAGAAAGAAAGAAAGAAAGAGATGGGGGAGGGGAGAGTCGGACCAACCCTCCGGATTGCGCAGCCGCCGCACACCTGCAGCAACACATGTTTCTTAACACCTGCTCTTGTACACAGCCAAAGATTCTGAACAAAGAAATGAGGTTATAGTTTATGTGGACCAATGAGTGAGTGAGTGTCCGTGTGCGTGTGCGTGTGCGTGTGCGTGAGAGAGAGAGAGAGAGAGAGAGAGAGAGAGAGAGAGAGAGAGAGAGAGAGAGAGAGAGAGAGAGAGAGAGAGAGAGAGAGAGAGAGAGAGAGAGAGAGAGAGAGGGTTGTCCGCATCCTGTAAAATCCAATACCGCAAACAAATAACAAATTATGAACCAATCTATATACCCATACCAATTTAAACCCATTATTTCAGCAAAGCTTTCCCTCAATACGTTCATTAATGAGAAAGGACACGTACCGAAAAAATACCCAAGGTGGCGCGGTACGCATACGCGCCCGCAGCGATGCGCACCTGAATACATGCCCACCGTTAGCAACAAGCTGTCCCGCCCGCCCGTCCGCCCGCACGTACGTACTCGTAGTTGGCCCGGTGCCAGCGCCGAATCCCCCCCCCCCCCGCACACGCCCGTCGCCTATCGCCATGGCAGCAGGCAGGTGGAAAAAACAGCGACGATAAGCTATCTATCCGGGAAGATCTACCGCGCGGGAAGATAACGATAACGAAGCCACGAAAACAAAGCAACCAGGCACGCTCGCACGGGAGTCCAGGCGAGATGACTACGGCTCGGGGGTCATGACCGGCGGTAGAATGGGCACAGGATGAGACGGAGTCACGGCGTAGATAAGAGGGAGGCAGGAGGCGGGGAGGGGGGGGGGATTATCTCTCCAGTGACTTGATATTGCTGTTTTGGGGATGATGTCACCCAAGTATCAAATGTTAAAATGGTAAGTCTACTGCGCATAATAAAGCTAGGGAACATACACACCCATACATATATGCATACAAACAAGCATACTGCGTACGTACCTACACACATGCATACATTCATACGCACGCGAGTAAGCAGATATAGTTTCCTCGGCATGCTTCGACGGAAGCACCCGACACAATCAATCATTCCCCTTTGACCTTACTTCACCCCCACCCCCCTCAATCTTCCATTCCCATTTCAAAGATCCAATACCCCTCCCCAGCCCACCCCCGCGTTCTCCCGGTTTCCCCCAGCTGTTCGCTCACGGACAGGATAATCCGGCAGATGATCAGCGAAAATCACCACCACAGGTTTTGTTGGTGGTTGGACAGGGAGGGGGGGGGTCAGGTAAGCGGACCTTGATGATGTATTTAATGGCTTGCGTACCACTAATTACCTCAAGTTGCCAGATCGAAAAAAAAAATCCATTTATTTCGCCTCCTTCATAGTACTTTCTTCATCATTAAAGACCGACCCAAATACCTATCACTCAACCAATAACCGTGAAGCCTCGCGTGTGGCTTCGATAACAACAAGAACTGTATCTGTTTACGAGTCGAACAAAACACGTCCGATACCTGACGACCCTTGGCAATCCACACACCAAATGTGACCAAGTTAATCCCGCGGAAAAGGAATCCTGGACGAAAGAACTACTAAAACACTCAGGTCTCGTGCCAACGTTCGCCTTTGTCCAAATAATTCGTTGTACACGGATACAAGGGAATCTAGTCCCTCACGCGTACCCTGTAACCTTCAGGCTGTGAAAATGAAACGAGTTGTTTTTGTTTAGTTTTACCTGTATATACTTTCAGGCTGTGAAACTCAAGCGAGATTTCTTTTGCTTTCTGCTTTGCATATTTTACTCGTGTTATACACATCTATGTCCAACTATCTTAAATAACATCGACTAAAACCAGATCCAAATAAACAAAAGATATTCTCCACTTTACTTCATTATGCTATGTAGTTACCAAGCCCCTCAGGGTTCATTTCCCTAGACCGAAAATATACCTCAGCGTTGGCACAGCCTTCCTCTAACCCTCCAGGTGTTGCCACTAGCTTGTGACAGTTGGTGGGTGTCAGCCAAGTACCGTCACACCTTCAGCCTATACAAGGTCACGCCTATCCCAAGGTAAGCACCTTACGACATCACATAATGATCACTAACTCCATAGTCAGCCTGCTTTAATTATGGGCCAAGAGGCAGAAGGGAGAGAAAGAGGAGAAAAGAGAGAAAGTGAGAGGCGACTAAACTTATCTTGGCAATTGTTTATATCATAGCCTGAGTTGCAAGCTAAGTATCGCAGCTGTTTCTCATTTTAAGCAGGGGAATCATCTCGTTTTTGAAAACAAGAATCGCATTTCAACATAATCGCATTGCGTTACCAGTACCGAACACGCAACACAGACGAAATATGCGGTGAGGCATTTCTTCCGAGATCAACAGAGGCCTGTCAACATTCGGATAACATGAGAAACTCCATCTCCACTTTTTCTTGCTCTTAATTTGTTATGTCAATCACAAGTCATTCTCTGACCGTCCATCACTATCATTAATCAGTTGAAATACATTTTAGCTAAATAAATAAAGCTCAATCTAAAATCAATGTAATGCCAGATCAAGGAATAAGCAAATACACACACAAACATGCATAAATGTACAGCATTCAAACGAAATGACGAGGGTATTTTGAGGAGACTTGCCTATGATTAAAATATTTACATTTTAATAATTCGTCCAGGCATATTAAACAACCAGTAAACAGAAATAAATGCTGTCGTTGACTAGAAAATTAGTTATAAGACTTTCCTTTAGTTACTTGATTGCTGTAAAAAATAAAATAAATTGCAAAAATCGAGAGTAAGCAACTTGCACGTCTCTAGATTGCGAAATCTTGAGTTCAACCAAAGAGAGACTGAGTGGAAATACATGAACCTTTTCCAGAAATAAATCTGATGTATTTTGAAGACGGACAGATAATCGATCAATGACCTTAAACCGATCACCGTTTGCCATAATTATTTTAACTTCTCCCTGGTTAACTATCTAAATATCATTACATTTAATTCTCTACATAAAACTGTTCTTTAAACACATACACCAAAAAATCAGCTTTTGTGACATAACTATCGATCTGAAAACATGAAAGTTACATCGAAAATCACTAATCAGATTATACTGAGAAATGAAATCGGTGATAACCTTCACTGACCATATAAATCAAATGTATGGCTGGAGTCGAAATTGATTCAATAAATAGTTTTAACTACATTTCGAAATCCTCAAAAATTCTGCATTAACATTATGAAACAGTCTGACCTAAATAACATGGTTCAATTTACGTTAATTACACAATTTATCAAGATAATTACACAGAGGTGACCTTTACTGACCTGCCCATGATGCAGCCGTCAACGGTGTCAAAACTCAAGGCGCTGTTTATAGCCTCAAAGCCCGAAGATTCTGGAAGCAGCTTCATGATGTCTTCGTTATTTAGAGGATCAAGAGACGAAGAAAATAACCTTCGCTTTTGCTGTAGGGCGACTTGAGCAGTTGAGAAAAAATGTCGAATTCGCGATGAGTTTTCGATGAAAATTGGGATGTCTTCCGATTCCTTTGTTTATTCTTATTGTTTTATTTCTTTATTATGCTTTTTCTCGATTTTCACCAATTTCTTCCGAGTATTCTTGATTGTCTGTTTTCTTTAATCTCTTTTTTTTTCTTTATCTCTTGAATTAACAGTTTAGTTCTACGAGTGAAAGTCTCGAGGATGATCTGACAAGGCCGACGATGATGATGAAATTTAACTTATGTTACTTAACTTATCTATTTTACTCAATATACTACTTAACTTGTTTATTTTGTTGCAACTTAACTTCACACACGAACCTCTCGCTCTCGCTTGGCTCAGAGACTTGTACACTTCATCTGCAACGAAGTACTCCCGTTGCACGTTGCTCATAATACCTCGGTTGGAGCGATCAAGACCTGTAGAGAGATGAGCGAACACAGAACAGTGACTTCCGGAGAACAGAGGAACCACAGGGAATCGACGTATTTCTCTTCCTCACCTCCTACTTCTTCAACTCCTTCTTCTTCCTCAACTCCTTCGGATTCGTGTTGCTATGCGCCTGCTCTCCCGCCGGGATTTCAACCTCCTCGGCGATTTTCCTGCTTGTTATTCCACTCACAGGCTCTCGCAGATCCGTAATGGCATCCGCGAGCGCTCACCGTTGCACAGATAAACGAAAAAAAGACCGACAGTGGCTCAAAAACGGGGAAATGTGGAAACGCGGGCCGATACCTTGAGCGTTGTAATGGAAACTCTTCTTCAAGGTTTG